TAATATATAAAGGCTATAGGTGTTGAGTCATCTTCACACTGGGTTTCTCAAGAATAGCCTGCTTTAGTTTTCTTTCTATTGCTTGCAAAGTGATTTGGCAGACAGGCTCTATAATCTCTTCTTTTTGTGCCTGCATGCTTATAGGCTCGTATTCTTCTTCCTCTCTTGACTCCATTGGGCAATACTGATACAGCCCGTTTGTGTTGGCCCTGAGGAGTTTTTCTTTTGCTGGCATTAGGTACTACTAATAGTGGACCAAAATTGAGAAGGTAGTGTTAATGAGACCACATAGCAGAGGTTGAGCAGTATCTCTCCAATGTGAATGGTCCCATTTTTTTGAGTTTCGGCCTCACTTCCTTCATCTTGATCCTCAATGGACCTTTTTCTAAATTTACTAGCCTCCTGTCGAATGTCGGGGCTATCCTGTACCTTAGTTTTTTACTATTTAAGGTACCTCTGTGTAGCTCATTTTTGTTAAAGACATCACTTCTAGGTTCTTGTCAAGACAGTTGGGAACTTCTTGTGCCTCACAACTCTTTATTTCAGAAGCGGCACATTGCCAGGCGGTGTAACGAACCTACCCGAGTCCTTAATGGCTTTTGGTTTTGAAGGAAGCTCTATGCTATTTTCTGATGGCGTTAACGGTGGTAATGGTAGGCCGTCGGGGCCTACATCCTAACTCGTTAGTATCCTCATGAATGGTTCACCTGATCTAGGGGGTGCTTTACAAAGAAGTCGAATCTGCCAGATAGTTCCCCTAGGTGGTCCCAGACCACCTTAGATCCATCTGGTTCTGTCATCACTAATCCTCCTAGGCCAACATCCCATCCTGAGGGTCGTTTGCCATTTTTCTTCCTTTTCTGTTGACTGTCTCCATTTTAGGTTTCCCCCAAGCGGTCCCAAACTACTTTGGAGCCATCTAGGCTTTTCATGTTCTGCCTTTCTGGGCCTATGTCCCATTTAGAAGACTTGTTTTTACTCCAACTCATAGGCTTCCCTAGGCGGTCCCATACTGTCTCAGAGTTTCCTTGAATTACTTCACCCCTGTTCCAGACGTTCTAAGGTCTCCCATCCTTCTGCTTACCATCACTTTTCTTAAGCCGTTATTTGCCAGACATTATCTCCACCATGTTGACTATAACAAAAGTCCAAAACCTAACTTATCCTAAAGGTAATAATACAAATCAGCCCATTAATTTATATTTCCTACAATATATATAACATAATGAGAAGATTGACCGGGGCACAATCATTAACAAACTACAAACATATCACTTGTAATAAAAAATGAATAAAAAACTAAGTCCTCTGTCCCTCTCTCATGACTTTTATTTTTGGTATTTCTTTATAAGCCTTTTCCTTAGCTTTTGCTTCTTTTTTAGTAGCTTTTTCTCCATTCTTCGTAATTCCTTCTCCCTTTCTTTTATGCCTCTTTTCTTTTGCTCAAGGTACTTATCTTTCAAACACAAGTCAATTTCTTGAATCATTCGCTCCATCTCTTTCATGTCTAAATCTTCATTCTTTATCCTCGATCAGTTGTTCCATAATCATCATAAATGTGAATATAGCTTTCATAATTTCATCATGCTCTCTTGATTTGTTTTATACAATAGAGGGCAGAGCCCAACAGTGAAAATTAAATAAGATAGGATTGTAATCCCAAACACTTATTATGTATAAGGTCCTTTAAATGAGAAGGAGCCACATCTAAAACAAAAGAAGATTAAAGTCCCTCCTTAGCCAAAATGTCAACAACACGATTCTGCTCCCTCAACACATGTAAAAGTTGCACCTTTCAATTAGAATTCATCATTGACAAAGATTTTCAAATGGTCTATTTTCATCCAAAGTATTAATATGAAGGCTATCCACAACTAGCTTCGGCTCAAATTCAATAATGATCTGTATAAACCTTATGTCCCATGCTACTCTCAATCCTTCCAATATTGCCCATTCATCGGCCTTATACGTATTGCAGTTGCTAAGAAATTGAGTGAATCTTACCACCTAGTCTCCTCTATAATCTCTCAAGACTCCATTATACCAGTCTTATTACTAATGGTGGACATAGCCCTATCCACATTAATCTTAATCAAATTTAAAGGATGATTTTTCCATACATGCTCAATACTGCTACTAGTATTTTTGTTGTCACCAATCAACTCATCAATTATAGAGTAGTGCTTCCAACCATTATTATTAGAACCGGATTGGATTGGCCAGTTCGACTGATTTAATCGAGAACTGGCCAAGCGTTTGGTCTAAAAATGATGTAGATTTGGGGGGAGTCATACTACCCTCAAATTACTCAAACAAGATATGAATCGAACTGAATCAGGGGAACCAACGATTCAGACACTTTACTCATATATTTTTCCCCTCAATTTTGACAAGACAACATCATTTTGCTGTTTTTTGAAAAGAAATTTATATTCTATGACCTAAATTACTTTGCTCTTATGGTTGAATCAAAACCCTAACCCCTCTTATTCTTCAACCATCTTCCTCATTCAGTCAATCAATGCACTCCTCTCCTCTGTCCATCAATCTCTTCAACTTAAGGACTACTCGCAATTATCTCCTCCATTCCAACCATGTTTTTCTTGTTCGTGTTGTTCAAGTTTTTCTTGGTCTATAGTCTTCTTCAATTTCATTCCATCATCTTCAACTCTCTATCACAGTCATGCAATCACTCATCCTTAGTCATAGTCGGCATCATCTCAATCTAGAGGAGGAGTCATGGCAATTGGCATCAATCTGTTTGTTAGTGTTTTGAAATTTTTTATTTTCATTTCCACTGCCCCAATTTTTGACCCATTATTATTCTTTTTTTTTATATTAACCCTCTATTTTTCTATTGAATCAATTTGCATGCCATAACCAAGAATCCCTATGTATAATGATATATAATTATTATACGTTACTTTTTTAGTTAATACTTTATTATTTATTTATTTAATCATTTAATAAGTTCTATTAGCAGTAAGTTTCCTTAAGTTTATCATTTTACCTATAATTTTTAATTTAATATAAAATATTTAAAATATATTAATTTAATTATAAACGGTCTAACCTTGACCCGACCTTTGAACCGTAAACTAATACCTTAATCGGTTCAACAGTTGGTCTAATTTTAATAACATTACATCTAACTGCTATATATAGCTATAGCATGATCATTTAGTTTTGTAAAACTCAAGTTAAATATGAAATTTTTCCGCCAATTCTAGAGCTTCCATATAGCAACTCCCCCAATCAAACTCCAATCAAGACTCAATTCATGACTAAAGGTCCTTTTAAGATTACAAGCAAACCAATCAGCCAAGAAGGTAGTAAAAAATTGTGAATAGTATTTAGGATTTGGTAACTTGTGCCAATGTTTTCTAGCATAGCTGCAATCCCTAAGAATATGCAAGATATCCTCAATACCAAAATTACACCAGCCGCAACGAGATGAGCATGAACTCCATTAGCTTTTCCATTGATTAGTTAGGAGTCTATTTTAGTAAGTAAGCTGCATAAATACTTGTACCCTCTCTACACCTTTCCATCTCCAAATCAGCCAAGGAGGTAGTAAAAAGATATGAATAGTACATGGGATGCAGTAACTTATGCCAAAGTTTTATAGCATAGCTGCAATATCTAAGAATATGAAAGACATTCTCAGTACCAGAATTTCACTAGCCATAAAGAGATGAGCATGAACTCCATCATCAGCTTTTCCATTGATTAGTTGAGAGTCTACTCTAGTAGGCAAGCCACATAAATACTTGTATCCTCTCTACACCTTCCTATCTCTAAATCAATCTATATAGAGGATTGTATAAATGTTCTGAGCATTCCTCAATAATAAAGTAGGCACTTTTAACTGTGAAGTTGCTATGAGAAGTAGCATTCCACTTCATAATGTCATGACCTACATTTTCCTAGGGAGGTAGCACAGTGATTAATCTCTAATAATTTCTATAGGCAGAAGTTGTGACAATTTAATGAAGTCCCAAGTATCATACAATGCCCAATCTACCACTTTACTTTCCTGTTCCTCTATTGTAAGTGGTCTTAAGTACTTATCATTAAGTATGCCATCTGATAGTAACCAAGTATCATTAAAGAAGCCAACATGCAAACCATTTTGAATCTACCACCCCATCCCTTTCTCCACTACTTCCTTCTGTTAACAAATAAAATGCCATAATGCAGAATATCTAGCTTTTGCCTTAGGTAACTCATCCTCATTTTATATCATATACTTATGGCTCAGCACCTCTGCCTATAAGCCTTTAGAACCACTAATAAGTTGCCATGATATTTTAATCCTATAAGAATGATTAAATACCTCCAGCTTCTTAAATCCTAAGCTACCATACTACTTAGGTAATGTAATTTTCTTCTAGCTTATAAGATGAAAAGCTTGACAAATTAGAGTTTCCTCTCCATATGAAGTTTCTCTGCAATCTTTCCACTTCAATGCATATGCTCATGGGCACTTTTGCTACTCGCGTTGGATCCATTTCCTCGATCCTTGTATCACCCAGCCTATTAGGTTGGGTGATTGTAGGATCAAAATTTGGCATTACTGGGTATTAGGCTCCAACATCTTTGTTTTGGGCCTCAATATTAGGGTTAATCTCACTTTCCTCCCATATTAACATCAAGACCTCATCACTTTTTGCATACTCTTTCACCATATCTTTTGTTCTCTTCTTAACTCGCCTCTTATTTTCTCCCCGACATACGTTCTCATTGTGCTCTTGCTGAGCCATTTTTTGCTATACAAATTGATACACCTATTGTTGTGCACTTTCCTACCATTCTTGTGTCCCTACCATTTTTAGCATGACAGCATTATGCTCCACAATGACATCCCAGTCGACACCCTCTTCAATATTAACACTACTTACCTTTTTTTTGTTCTTTCTCTTGTTGCTAATTTATGGGCCCACTTTGTTTGTACATATCTCTTGCATGGTTGGCACTATTCCATTATCTTCTTTCCCGTGTCACATTACCATTGGCAAGCACCCCAACATGTGAGCTGGAAGGATCCTGACAAGAAGGTTCAGGTCCCTTGTTTTTCTCTTTTCTTTGCCGCCTCTCTTTTTGAACAACTTTCCACAATCAAGCTTAATAGCATCACTTTGTTTTGCATTTTGTGGTACCTGACCTCTTGTGGCATTAGCTTGCTCTGTTCTATTCTCCAAATTAACTTGTGACTTCTTTGAAGGAGAAGTCTCAAGTTGATGCCCATAAATCCTACAGTTAGTGCACAACATGTGCAAACCTTTGTACTCTAAATAATAATCCTCCCCATATAAATGAAATCCAAACATTAGTTGTTTACCAAAATCAACTAGAACACATATTCGAGCAATATGGCCTCTCAACTGCCAGGCCATATGAATATTTACTTTAATGGTTTGGCCAATTCTGTTGCCGATGAATGTAAGTGCTTCATCATCAAAATATTCAAGAAAAACCTTTGGTACTCTAAACCACCAAGCTACCTTGTCAATGGTAGCATTCCTGGCATTAAATATGGGTTCCCAAGGTCGGACTTTGAGGCAGTGGTCATCAATCATCTATGGACCTCCTGTCAAAACATTAAAATAATCTTCTCTGTTACAGAGCACAACAACAAAGTAGCCATATCCAATGTTAAATCATTGATGGGTCTGATCACTCCGCCTTTCACCCACACAGTTTGGACACTCGACTCAGGAGCCTTGAAACCAATCGGTCTGTCCAAGAGATTAACAATCACAGCCCTCTTCCACACTTTAGAGAGCCTCTTCTTCACTCTTGATGAAAAAACAAAGGTGGGGAAGTTATGTTTAGCGTCCTCTATAGTGTTGAATTCAGGTTCCTTAGATTCAAGGTTCTCTCCACTATTCTGAGGTTCACCTAAATGACTATCAATTGGAGGTTCCTTTGAATTTTTCTGCACAAACGTTGGTTTGCTTGTAGTTTTATCAGGTTCTTTCTCTCCCAGCTTCGACCAATGACCCTGAAGGAGAGTCGCGTTCTTCTGAGCATTAACATTTTTAATCGTCTTTGAGCTCCGACGAAGCTGATCATCTTTCTCATTAGACTGAGCATGGTGAGCCTGCGTAGAGAGATTCCTAGCGGGGAGGGAGAGCGCCATCCTCAAACTTCTCTTGCCAATTTGCTCTTTTGACATTTTTAAAAAAACGTTTATAGTGCTGTTTTACCAAAGTGTTGTTTGACACTTCAACTTGGATATTTTCAGAGGCCCAATCAATATTTTTTTTTTCCCCAAAAAAGATATTGAAAACTGGAAATATTATAGGTGCACTTGTGAATCTGTTTTAGTAAATATTGCAGGTCCAAAGTACTTGACAATTTCAGTTCATTTGTCTACTAAAATTTACTAGAGTCTTAGCTCAAGTGAATTCTTTCTTGAGATAGATTAAAGTGTAGAAGCAGATATATTAGGCAGAGTTGAACGAGAATGAAAACATTATAATACATTACTTGTAAAAGATAAGTATATGAATGTTGTGATAAGTGAAAGATGGGGAATTATTTATAAAATTATAAGAATCCTACGTTGGAGAAGCCCTCCGGATAGAAGTTAGGAATAATAAGTTTGGCCATAAAAAAGATGGAAATGAGAAACATCCTTTATTATTATTAATATTATCATATCTGGGGTTCCTTTATTTATTTATTTATTTATTTTAAAGAAGGGGTTTCTTTAAGTTCAGTAGTTTGTTTGACTTCTTTGCCGATGAGGTGGGCCATTGTAGTTTTGGAGGGGAGTTGAAGTGCATCGTGCGTGCAAAGCATGGAGGTTGTTTGCGGATAGAATAGAGGGTGATGTCAACACGTTTCTCTGTTTCTTCAATTCCGTCGGAGACACGCCAAAAAGAAGACAAGTAAAACCGGTAACTTAGGTCGAATTTCATATATTAGCTCAAATAAGTTTAAAAAAAATCTAAAATTGGACTTAATAAAATAAAAGATTTTTAATGTTTTGGCATGTTCAAACCTGAATAAAGCCTGATCTAGTTGGACTTGTCACTAAATATCCAAGTAAAAAAAATTATATTTTAAAAAATGTATAAAATATGATAAATATTAATTATTTTTAAGTTTCAGATTATTTTATAATAAAATATTATATATTTGAGTGTATTGTCATACATTTAAAAAAATATTTATACTTCTATATTTTTATTATTTTTAATTTATAAAATATTTTAAAATATATTTTAATATTAAATTTTAAATTTTAAGACCCACATATTTTTTATAAAAAATATTGAGCCTTATACATCATTTAAGTATCCAAAAAATAAATTATATATTTTTTAAAAATAAAAATACTTAATTTTAAAGAATGAAAATTAATTTTAAAAATAAAAATGCTTACAGTGGGGCCCTGTTCGAAGCCCAAATTCATTCAGATTTTTCAAGATTTGGACTAAGCTCGAATAAGTTCGATTGCCTGAACTGGCTCTAAACAAGGAAATGCATTTGATTTGCCAATTTTTTTTTTTAATAATAGGCGACTAGAAAATCGTGCTATGTGATATCAGCATACAAGAAATTTATATATTCAAGAGGTGGAGTATCAAAAATATAAACTCTAAGGTTTTCGATAGGAGTTTGGTGAGCCAATCAATCCACACATTTATTTGCTTCTCTAAAAATGTAATCAAAAGTGACCATCCAGTCTCTCATAATAAAATCTCTAATTTTGTTGATGGTTGTAATAAGGAGATGATTTGTAAAGAACTCATTGCGTATTAATGCGAGAGCTTCTATAGTCAAAGTAGACGTTAATCTTATCAAACTTTTTCATCCAACAAATGTTAAGTCTTTTCAAGATACTTACAAGCTCTACTGTCGTACTTATGTGATAACCAAGGTATTTGAAAAAGCCTTTAATTCAATTGCCTTTCCCATCTCGAATGAGGCCGCCACAAAAAGTTGCACCTTGATTATTGGTGAAGCCATCTATGTTAAATCTGATCTATCCATCTTCAGGAGATAATCAATTAGCTTTAGATCTATTGCCCTATTAAGCTAAGAAGTTGATTTTTGATTGGAGGAGTTGATCACTAAAAATATCTTGAATGCTAGTGAATGCAATTAAAATCCACTTGAATGCGCGCTCGCATGTATATATATATAAGCACCTGTTTTATTTAGGGGAGCATTTGGAGGGAAGGAGAGAGAGGAGAGGAGTCGTTTGGTTTGGATAAGAAAATTAGAGGGGTTAGTGCATTTTTTTTTTTTTAAATTTGGTTTGGATTACTTGATATTTTGAGTTTATCCTACTATAATTGAGACTCAAACTAATCAAATCAAGAGTAAATCACAAAGGATGACAAAATTTTTCCGTCCAATGTTTAACGCTATTGATTATCAAAATCTAAAATTGTAATTCTTGATTAAACTAATACAATAATCTCTTCACATTTGAATCAAGTGATTTGGTGGTAGAGTAGTATGCATTTAAACTATTTCCCCTGATAGGAAAGAGTGCATTTTATCTTCTCCAAAAACTAAAATAAAAAATTATGAAAGTCTCCTAGCCTCCTTGAAATCAAACAAGAGCAAAGAAGGCTAGAAGTCTTTTTCCTTTTTAGTTTCCTTTTTTCTTTTTGAATGTAAACTGGAAACTTCATTGAAACCAAATAAAAACACACAGAACAATCAACTCGAAAAAACTATAGAAAAACCTAACCAAAAAAAAAAAAAAACAAAGATCAAAAAAGCCACTCATAAAAATGCCTAGTGGGTGGCTGGTAAGAAAGTTTAAAGGAAGCTTATGAGCCAACTTAATAAAATAATCTGCCGTCCAATTCTCCTCTTTATACACAAAATTGAAATTAATATTCAACTGTCTACACATAAGTCTCCTCATTGCCTCAATGATATCCCTGAAAGGATGATAATTATAATTATCTTTTGTAATCAATGACATAACATACACACATTCGCAAAAGATCTCCACAATTCTAAATCTTTTTTTCTTTTAGTTTCCAAATAAGTACTTCTTTTAAATAAATGAGTGTGTGTAAAAGAGTAAGTATGTTTGAAGTACTTAAGAATAAGTACCTCTAAATCAGAGAAAAATAATCAATACTTGCCGAATTTTAATTCTGAGGCTAGCAAAGAGAGTTTGCCAGGCATTAATAACTAATAATATTTTTATTATCTTAAATAAATTTCTTTTAAGTTATAAAAATAAAATTAAGACTCCAAATAATATTACATCCAAATACAAAAAAGCATCTTGTTTCAAAAGAAGTTTAATTTGGCAAAAAAAAAAAAGATTACCATAATACCAAGGAATCTTGCATTTCTCTTAGATGTTATTAATGAAAATACAATTAAAAACACAAAGAAGCATATTGGATCTAATACTTAATTCGAGGCCGGCCAAATTTGATGAACTAGTTTAAATAAATTTGAAAAATTTTAAGAGTGGACTTGAAAATTTAGATTCTTTTTCCTTTATAATTAGTTTGTTCAAACTGTCTAAATAAGCTTAAATTGAATGAGTTTAGCCCGGCATCTGAATTTTTTTATTATTAATAAAATAAAATTAACTTTCACGTAAACACTCATAAATCCTCTCCACATTCTCATCTCACATACTTTGCACGTCTAAATGAAATTTCAATGTTCTAATAAGAATTTTGTTTTGAATATTTTTTAAAAAATATTAAGAAAAAATAAACACAAATTACTCATTTATTTGTATTTTTAGTCTTGCAATACTTGGTTTCACATTAACGGGGATAGAAAAATAGTATAATTATATAAAAATTTCACTCAATATAATTAATTATTTCTTAATCCATTGACAGCTAACATCTTCTAAAAAGATTTATTGTAGTGTTCAGTTGCTAAATTTTTTTAAAAAATTTTAAATAAAAATAAAAATTAATTAAAAATAATATAACAATTAATAATTAAAATATTTAAATTTGTTGAATAAGATAAAAAGTATTAGAGTCAAGCTTTGTTATAAAAGTTTATTTATATGTTTAGTTTATTTATATGTTTAGATATTTTAAACCCGTGTAAATAAGATTGATCAGAATAAACTCCACTGGCCATTGCTATATACTTCGTCTCTGGAATCAGGAATTAATTATTTAATTATTAATTTCTAATTACAAATAGAGGATCTCATTTAATAAACCTAGTCGGGTACATTCTGGTAGGACAAACGATTTGGTATATGCTCCGAATCCGCTTTCTTCCAATCTCTTCTGCAGCATTGGCTTTTGGAATTGCTTCCGTAAGCCCTGCACATACGTAAGCGTCATGCTGACGCCCAGATGTCACAGTCATCCACCCAATCGGCAACTAACCACATCTTTAATTACATCTTCCTTCGTTACATATTATTATGATCAACAATACAAAGAAATATGCATCGTCACAAAAAACTGTACATTCAGGCACTGGCCTAGGCCTATCATGATGGTGGGGATCAAGAAGTAGAGGACCATATCATTCCCACATCTTCTTTCTTTATTTCTCCCCTGACATAACGTCCATCTCATCAGAAATTTTCTTTATGGAAGTCGAATTTCGTGCTTGTCTTGTGAGAGAAATCCGAAGCTAATTGGCGAAGCTCTGTTGTGAGCGCCTGGATCCCACAGTAAAACACCCCTGCGTGAAGTAGTATGCCTTTGTTAGATCTCAGGCACCAAACATTCAATTTCAATGGATGTTCCTTTCTGCACCGTCTATCTCATCTTTCTAGCACTTTAATAATATAAGATGCTTCGCTCAAAAGATTAACACTCATAATGGCAGTAAGTAAACAAAAGGATTATCTTTGGAAAAAGGCAAAAGAAAAGGTATGAAATTATTGAAGTACCAGTGATGGAGGACTTCGAAATTGCGAAAAGAAACTTTAGTTAAAGATGTGGGAACTCACCAACCCGGGCTTGTGGATGAGCAAGCGCGATGCGCTTGTAGACACTGCGCCAATTGGGTTTGGCAAAGTGAGTCATGACGTGAGTGCCAGAGACAATGTCGACGCCATTCCTTGCGTGATTTAGAGACTGCAGCATAGCGATAAGAGCAGAGCGTGCGTCACCCTCTTCATAGACACTAGTGCAGTAATTGTGGAGCTCAATCACTCCACGGTGGTCTGCTTCAGCCGTCTCGTTCATTACCCCTTTGAACCAGTCAAAAGAACCCTGTTCTCTAGTCACCCAGTAGAAGTATGCCTTCCTGGTTTTAAACCCACTGTGTCCAGCTTTTCTTTCTTGGGATTTTTGTGATTTACCACTTGCTCCTTCCTCTAACGCCATCTCCTCCTCTTCTTCCATGGCCTTGTAGTTATTTACTATGTCCTTCACTATACTGATCATTGGGGTTGCCCCTATTCCCAATCCCACTAGCAAAACTACCTCATACTTTTGATAGTCTTGAGCTGGCGCTCCATATGGACCATCAATCAGAACTTTGGGAAGAGAGCTGCTCGTATTGTAGTCATGAATAAAATATACTTCAATTATTAAACATACACTTGCTAAGTCCTACGAATATCTTAAATGGCTTCAGTATGTATCTCACTAATATAACTAATCAAGAACCTAATTAAATTAGCTTGCATGCTTGGGAGGGATGACTTCTTAGTGCTTACCCTTTCTTTCATTAAAAAGATTCAACAGGCAGCTTTATCACCAGGGTAGCGTAAATGTTTGGATTACAATGATTTACTTATGACTATTGTTTTGCCCGCTAAGATATATGCAGCTGTAAAGGTGGCACCGGGAATGCTGGTAGTGATCAGTGTCACCCAAAAAGCACAACCAACAAAATTTGCATCTTTTAAAAGAATATGCTCAGTCCAGTAACGAGTTCAAACTATAAGTAGAAATGGATAAGGGCAGTCCGTCCACAGCTTCAATTATTGGGTTCATTATCCCGAGTGTGACTGTGTATTCCAACTCGTGAGTTGACAAGTGAAAGCACAATACTTTCACCAGCAAGCCACATGTTCATTATCCGAGTTTCAATAGATCTTCCGTGAAATTCCAGACAAAAGCTTTTGCTTGTCAGCTGTAATAAAACCATGTAACATGGACTACTTTTATATAATAATTAAGGCTTCAAGGAATCCCCTCTTTAGAGGGGCCTTACCTTGGATTGCTATCTCCTTGCATGCATTCAGCTCTTAACAGTCCACTCATACCATTTGGCGGAGGCCGGCACGCCTGAAAGAAACCAAAGCAAGAACTTGAGTAATTCTAAGGGATTTCGGCTCAAGAAAAAGCATTGAAACCAGAAATCACCTCTGAGAATTTTGCTTTTAGGCTCCGGGTCCAGTCACCTGCTGTTCGAATATGAACGCTAAGGTAGTCATCACCAGGTGCTGAGGTTATGGAGAATGGATGCCTGAAATTAAACAGCACTTAAAAAAATTAGATTCTGGGAAAACAAACAACGGGAAGGGGAAGGGGGAAGTGATCCTAGCGCCTTGAGGGTCTCAGACTATGTTTTCTTCAATACATACCATTCAAACGGAGATACAGCAGCACAATTGACAAACATAAATTGTCCACTTCTGTATCTAAATCCATGAGGCTTTGACATGTGAATTGCTAACACATTTCCAGGATAAACAGCCACCTTCAAGTTTGGCATTGAAATTGTAGTAAGACATTTGTATATTATACTTATAGGATTAGCCAAAAGGAAGGCCGTAGTTTCTTTATGAGAGGAATTGGAGTTTCAATATTTGACAATCACCTTTAATATTCTCACAGGCTTGATGCTCGATCTGAGAGCTCTAATCAATCTTTCTAATACATAAATGATGACAGGAATAGCCAAATACATCCAGGTCTACAAAACGCAAGAAATGATTAAATTGTGTGTAAAATTCAGTTACAAAAAGACAAGGAGGAAAGGGTTGAGTTGACTCAAGGTGCTAACCGTTTTCTTGTACCATTTCTTGGTCAAGTAAAGTTTCTCTCCATGCACTATCAACATAGCATACACAATGATGAAGAGGTGATGGGAATACCAAAAGGCATTGAAACCGGTTAGCTTGTCAAAGGGTCTGGGTAGCTTCACCCTGCCTCTCCTGAACCAAGGGGTGGCCAGGGTGAATGCTATTGCCATTAGCACAACCATTATAATCCCTGTCACTCCTTCCCATGATTTGACAAAATGCCAATAACTAGAAGGTTTGGGTCCGAAATATTGCACCATAAACTTGTACTTTTCATTACTTGCACGAAGAAGGCGAGGAAAATCACAAGCAAGATGATAAATACCATGTATACCAACGCCAAATGTTACTCCTACAGCTATCACCTGCAAAACACACCAATTTGTTAATTAGAAGAAGAATACTTGCTCCCCTTTACCTCGTGAAAAACATACTACTTATCCCCACCCCCCCCCCCAATATAAATTCTAGTCACTGTTTTGTTGCATGAAAGGAACAGTTAGCAGTTCAAATTACCTTGTGGAAGTTGAGGTTGTCATCAAAAGGAACCACAACACCTAGCCTGGTCCTATTCCTGATCCAGGTGATGGTGTTTCGGCAAACAGGTAACAAAATAAGAGCCATGTTCAATTTTAGCGTCTCAGCTGCACCTTTCGCCATGCACACACAATGGCCCATTACATCATACACGTCATCTCTTTCTCGATACTGCACGTACTTGTAGGCAAATAGACCTGCCATCACACCTAACCACAGTGTCAATACCCAAGCTCTCTGCCAATTATCCTGTAAGAAGTATGTGGTGTCCCTGTACCACCGCCTTATAACATTGTTGTCATAGGTAGGCTTCAGCTTTTGGCTTAGCATTTGGCTCAGGTACTTGCTGTCTCCCCTTTTAGAATTTTCAGGTCCATGCAACAATAGCACCTCCAGGTTGTCTATCTGTTTTTCCCAAGTATAGGTCACCATATTACCCAAACAATTGTGGTTGAGATGAGAATTCTGTAATTGTGAATACAAGTTCTCATGTTTAAGATTGAAGGTAAGTAGTTACCATGATAAATCCTGTGTTATCTGGGTCTAGTTCTTCCATGATCAAAGCTGCATATTCCTCTGCTTGTTTCTGGATATTTGCGAGTTTGTTGGTAGTGGCGCTAAGGCAGATAATCTGAAAAGCAAGTTCAGAATTGATTGTTTATGGTCAAAGAAACTTTTATCCTGCTGGAAATATTATCTGATCGTCTGATCGGACTACTTTACAATTTTTTACCCTTTTCCAGTTGTAGAAACATTGAATCTACATGCTTGGAATTATATATGGGAATCAATAATGCCATACCTCTTTGATTTCTTCCTCAGTTATTCTGCCATCTGCATCTTTATCCACCCTGCATCGCAAATTGAGCTTGGTGATTCATTTAAGCCTTTCCGGGCATTGAACAAATTCAAAGCTTCTATTAACAACAGCTAGGAATTACATGTCAAAGAATGTTCTAAGCCTAGAGTCGAAGCTTTGGTCGGAAATCTGGTCCAAAAAATCCCTCAGATGCGCCTTGTTAATGGAATCCCCCAGGATACCTCTCTTCCGAGCGAGAGCATCAAACAGCTCCAGTGCAAAAGCCTCAGATTCCTTGTTCATTCCTACAAATATAAATCCAAAATCCACCTCTAAAAACTGCTCCAAAACCCAAAAGTAAAGTCACAACTTGACAAAAAGATGGTGAAGAAGCTAGGTTTGTGTAATACCTATACATTTTCCAAAGAGATCACGAGTAAGATAGCCATCTGTGGTTGCAGTAAGCTTGTCAAACTGCTTCTCAACCTCATCCCATCCTGCACCTCCATCAGTTTTACTGATGAACTTGAGTCCCTTGAGAGCATGAGCAGCTGCAGATTTAGTCCTATCATAGTGTTTCATTGGTGCTGATGACTTTGAAAACGAAGCCAAACGCTTCAGCTCCTGAGAAACATGCTTGACTTTGATAGAAGCATTACGCACAAGTGAAGCACCAAAGGATGTTTTCTTCTCAAGGCCTTTTCCAAGCAAACCAGATCTCTCATCTTCACGGAGATCCCCACCGGCAACAGTCTTAACGCTGTGTAAAGCAACAGAGTCTCCTTGTATATCCATTGTGACCTCAACATAGGCTCCGTCGTCTCCATCCTCTGGTTTGTTGCCACTGCTGCTACCAACAATAATGTCGGCGCTGGATTCAGGAACACTGAACTGCGTACTCTTCCTCCCAACCCTTTTGTTCAAAGGTCCACTTAATGGACCACTATTAGATGCCCTCTCACCTCCAATGAGCTCTATATCCGATTCACGATTATGAAGATCTGATGAAGCTCCGACCATCTCGTTGTCTGTTCCCATTCTCTAGCTCAAATTTTCAGATTCCGATGCAGATTCTGACATACAGAGAACTACACTCCTTTCACTTTCTGCTTGCTTTTCTCTCTTTGAATGATATGCTTACTTGGCCATATTCTATCTTGCAGGAAAGACAAGTGGACATATTTGTAGCAAGACACGGGCTCGTGCTGTACCTGTATGTGAAAAAGGACAGGTAACAAATCAAAGATCCCTGTGGATTTTCAATTCTCAGTGAAATGAACTTTGACAAAAAGTGGGCTGGACGATAACAGGATGAGGAAATATCTCCAGTGATATCAATCAATGATTCTCTTTCACCCCTTCTGCAGGAGACAAAAATTTTAAAGAAGATAACAGGAGGCACGTATATTATATTATACTCCGTTACCTGTGTAGATCTGAACGCATGGCACTAGCTTAGCACGTTAATTTGTTTTTTAAGACAGAGCTTTGGAGCGACGTGCCGGTAACAAAGACGTTGAAAATTGAAATATTCCAGAACACATCATAAATTTTCTGTTGACTTTATAATCAACCTTACAAAGGAGAAAAAAGCTTATTAAATAGTATTAACAAGTAAAATTCATGTGGAAAATGTAAGGGGCAGTGATACGGTTTTTCCTCGTCTACCTAACCTTTTTGTCTAAACTATGTTGATTCCCGGTTACTGCTGATAAACATGGGAAAATTTTAATAAAGAGGGCGTCTTGGTTGGAGATCTTATTTTATTCTATACAAATAATAAGAAGGCTTTAATAATTACTCATGTTTTTGTAATTTTATTTAAATTTTAAAGGTAAAAGTTGATTAAAAAAAATTTTATTTATAAAATTGCTCTTTTTTATTTTTTATTTTCTATTATATCATATTTCTTCATTGAATGGCACTAATCTTTGAAAATAATATTATTCTTATCCCTTAGTTCATCTCAATTTTTCTTCTATTTTATTTTCTTTTAATTTAGTCCTTTAACCATATCTTTTATTTTAATTTCAAGTAATGTTAATTGAATCCGCTTCGTACTACTTTGCATTTTATTATTTAATTTGACTGATTGATTCAATGTTAATTTTTTTCCCTTAACAAACAGCTATAACCTATAATTAGGAATGAGAATGAGTCAGGCCTTTAATAGAAGCTTACAGTCTAGTCTATTTCAGGCTTAACCTATTTTACTTACTAAATAAACTCAAGTCAAATTCAAACTTTTAATTAAGCCTGTTTAGTTAGATAGGTTAAGCTATTTTTTCAAAGCCTAACCTACGAGCCCAACAAGTTAGTCTATATATATATATTATGTAATATATCACAATCACATCAATTTCACCATTTAATTTTTAATTAATCTATTTTTTTATTTTTAGTTATATTTTCAATCATAATAGATTTATATATTAATTTTAATTTTAATGTTGTTGCTTTATTGTTATATTGTATTATAATGGGTAAATTATTTCAATTATTATATATTGTAATTGATAAATTAAGTTTTATATTGTATATTATAATAATGTTAAAATATATTTGAGAATTCAAAACTAAAATACAAGCCTATTTAAAAGGTTTATTTTTAAGTTTTAAATAGGTTTTCAAGTTAGGCCAGGTTTTAGATAAGCTCAAACCTGAGTCGTGAAAAAAGCCTTATACAGGTTTTAAGCCAGGCTCAAGCCTCTAATTTATTATACAGGTTCGAGCTTATTTGATTAAAACCTAACTTATCTTAGCTTATTTTCACCCTTACCTGTAATTGTCTGGCGCGGTCTAATTCCGATGGCCTTTAAATGACACAAATCTTATATGTTTTTCATTATAATCTTTTTTTCTGGGTTACTGTCCAAATGTTACATTTTTATTTTACTTTGTATGATTTTTTTCATTAAAAAGTATACCATCAATCTTAAACCCACCAAAAAGATAAAAGCATCCATTATAGATAATAAATTAAAGCACGTTATGGTGGTAGTGAGGGGAAAGTTAAATTGGTCATCAGCATGAGAGGCAAAGAACCTTTTCATTAAACATATTGTCCGTAAAATACCAAAAAATAAAATAAAATAAAATAAAATAAAACTAAAATTAATGATAAAAAATGAAGATCAATGTATGCTTTTGTCTCGATAATTAAAAATCAAATAAATTTATAAAAGATACTTTTTAAAAATCTGACACTTACATACTCCATTGGTGCTGATTATAAGATTATGATGTTTTTAACATTTTTATACAATTTGGCCAAAAAAAATATTGGGTTAATATACAATTTGAATTCTAAATTATAAGCTTAGGGATGATTTAAATTGTTACTTTTTTAAAAAGTATATTCTGAATTCTAAATAATTAAAATTGGGATAATTTCGCCCCCACATCAAAATTTAGGTACATGTTCATCAAATTGAGACCTAATGTATAATTTTTACCAAATAGGGTAAAAGAGAAAGGAAAAGTAAAATTTGATAAAAATCATACATTATGCCCGAATTTGATAGCCATTTATCTAAATTTAACAATGAGGGCAAAATTATCTCAACTTTAATTGTTTAGGATTTAAAATGCACTTTTTAAAAACTTAAGATTCAAATTGCCCCTAAATCTATAATTTAGAGTTTAAATTACATATTAATTCTAAAACACCTTCACATAAAAAATGTTACTTAATTAAATTTGTCAAAAAGTATTGTAAGATTTTAATTTTACTCCCATTAAATGTAACATGAAAAGGCTAAATCATAAAACTTTCACTTACAATTTATGAAGTCACTTTTAGAAATAGAGACAAAAATGAAGATTTATTAGATACTTTTACATAATGCCTTAGAATTTAATAATAATCTAAGAAACATTTTATACAAAGGACCGTAGGAAATATTTATTTATAATATAGTGAACTTCTCCTGCTGCATTTTGAAATTGAGTTGTATGGAGAAGGTAGAGGACTTCAAGTCTTAAGTCCCATGAGGTTGCGTCTTGTAATTAGGTTCAAATGGTTAATGATTTCAATTAAACTTTGGGGAAAAAGTTAAATTACAAAATATTAATATGTAATTTGAATCTTAAATTATAAGTGCAGGAGTAAGTTAAACCCTAAACTATTATTTAATACATTATAAATTGTAAACAATTAAAGTTAATACAATTTCACCCCAAGTTAAATTAAAGCAAATGTTTATTATTTTTTAAAAAAACAGGGCTTAATGCACTATTCCTCTTTTCTATCTTCCTTTGAGAAAAATTACATGTTAGGCCTTATTTTTTAAAAATAACAGACGTTTGCTTTAATTTAACAGTAAGAGCAAAATTACATCAATTTTAATTACTTAAAATTTAGGATTCAAATCAATTCAAGACCTATAGTTCAAAGTCTAAATTATATATTAACACTTTAAAAAACTTGAATTAATAATAGCTAGGTTTTTAATAATAATTTATGAAAACTGAGTTAAAAATATTGATTTAAATAATTATAAATTATGAAGTTTCAATAATTACACATCATACATTTAAGTCTCAACTTTCAAATGTCACTCTTATTATTTGAGATTTCTGTTTGTGATTATCTAAATTAATATTTTAATTTAATTTTACAAGTTTTGTAGATGACCAAATTATAATTAATTTAATTTTTTAAGACGTAACTATGATTTTCTCTTGAACTTCCCTTCCTCAGTCATTTATTCTTCCCTTAAAAGTTCTCTTTTCAGACCTTACGATGATTTGCTCCACGTGTTCACTTCCTCCCTCCTAAATCACAATTGACTCTGTTTTCCTCCACCGCCAACTAATCCTTTTTTCTTTTTTACCAAATGATTATTCGGTACTGTTAATTAATAATACAAATTATCATGCCACAATTTAAAATAAAACACTATTAAGTTGATTTTGAATTTACATATATTTAAAATGAAAAGAACGAGGCAACGAATTATAATTTTGTGTTTTCATCTATTTTTAATCTCTTATTTCCCCAAATAATTCACACACGTTTTATGACCTGAAGTACTTGTTTTGAACTATTTATAATTTATATTGAAATTTTTATTCCATATTAAATATATTGATATCTTATAATATACCAAAACCATTCATTGGACTGTGAAAACGGTTGGCTAAGTAGTTTTTAACCACCGTTCACCGAACCCGCGAAGACGACCTTTGTTGTTCCTCTTCTTCATTTATTTATTTATTTCTGAATATAAGGCCCCGAAAACTAGTGCAAGAGCAAAACAGAAATCATGGTCATGTTAAATTTTATAAGGGATTTATATCTTGAAGATGAATAATTAAAAATAATGAAATCTAAATTTTCTTATAAAGCCTGATGAGAGAACATGTTAGCACATCTATTCGCTTTCCTAAATTTGTGATCAAAGGTAATAATTCAATCTCTTATGACAAAATCTCCAATTGTATTGATAATTTCTAAGAATGGGTGATTGTTAGAGAAATTATGCTAAATAAACGAGAAAACTTCCATTGAATCAGAACATATATATTGATTTTAGTAAATCGCGCATTCTAACAAGGCTAAAACCCTTCTAAAATGCCTAAGAGTTCTACCATAATACTGGATTGATAATTAAGGTATTTGAAAACTCCCTTAATCCAATTACTTTTGTCATTACGTATGATGCCATCATAAGTAGCAGCTCAATTGAAATTGACAGCCCTGTCAATATCAAGATGAATCCAACCTGCTTCTAGAGGTCTCTATCATGCCTCTAATCTTTTACTATCACGATTAAGGATATTAATTCTTAAATAAAGCCTTGTGTCATTAGTAACTTGCTAGGTACTGAAAAAAGCAATGTCAATGTCCTAATTGATTTCCTTCAAATAGATCTTTTTGCGTTGTGCCTTATAAATGTTCTAGCAAACTTGAACAAAAAGTATTCCTTTTCTTTATTTTAAAACAATAGAAACACAACTTTTACTCCCTAAAAATTAACATGTTTGGGTATAGAGTTTTGTAATTTTTTTTTTATTGTTTTGGATTTATCTAGCTTATTCTCTATACAATATTAGTTTTACTATTTTTCATTATATTCAAAAAGATGAAGAAGTAGCACTAACAATGATAAATTTTTTAACCTTTCACCAATGTTGTTAATGTAGAAGTACAAAAAAGCATTTAAATCTTAAGTGACAAAGGTAGCATGCACCATGACCCCACTTAGTCGAAGGTTATTAAGGGATCGTCAAAGGAAAAATGCTTGACCCCCATGAACCCCACTTACTTTTATGTGAGAATGCACATGTCAAATGTTGTCCTCCTAGACATTAACAACATATCAAAATATTTAATGTCGTTAATATCATTTCATCATTCGAGCATATTCAAAAGTAAAGAGATTAATGTTACGAATGAGATAAACTGGAGAAATTTGGCATAACAAAAAAAACTATAAAAAGCTATACCAAAACACATTAAAACTATAAGGATAACAAGTTGTGTTATTCCTTTTAAAATATATACTTTAGATTTATAATAAATTCTATTAAAAATATATAAATTTTGTGTTATTTTTTTCAAGGTCCTGAAATTTAAAAGCTAAAATTGTAATTTCTTTGAATCAATAATATACAATTTTTAAAATTTATTTAAATAAGAGAAGCATACAAGGTTGCCTTTAACTTGTGCAAGAGGCAATCAATTGTTATATTATAGGATTCAAAATTCAAGGGAAATCATGAAAAGGCAATTGATAATAGAAGTGGTGGGGGGTATTTATGTCACTTCTTGGATTTTTATCTTAACTTTTTTCCCATTAGGTTGATCGATTCCTTAATTTGCCATAAGATTATCTTGGATGATAATCTGCCACATGGGGATGCGACATTAACAACCTCTCTCTAGGTAATCAAAATGATAAAATATTCATGCTCTATTAAAGTGTAACAACTAGGGCTCTTTTTAGCCTTTAATTATAGGGATGGAACTTTCCATTGTTCTTGAGATAATATCAAATATATTTGTTGTTGCTCTTCGTCATCTTGCATGATTTTTAACAGTTGTTAGTAATCTTGTTTTTGGGGGTCAATACGCAAGTTGCTATTACTTAATCAATTTTGTTGGTTCCCAATCATTTGATTCTCACATATATATTTTTTTCATTTATCTGCCATTTTTGCATGCTTTTTAATAGTTATGCAAGTTGTTAGTTTTTTTTTTTTGGGGGGTCAAAGCGCAAGTTGTTATTATTATTACTGATTCAATTCTGTTGGCTCCCAATCATTTGACTGTTACATTTATTTTTTTTTCCATTTATCTGCCATTTTAATATTTTATAACAATATCGATTACTGTATTTTAATTATATCATTATCTTTCCTAACTTTCATTATAAACTCAACGAGATAATTATGGAGACAATAAATAAAATAAATTAAAGCATATTATGAAATTTAAAAAATTGGCACATCAAGTATTTTTGGGTAAAATACACCAACTTCCCATCTATTTTACCTTAATCATAAAGACTTTCTTTCCATTTTTAAAACATATATAAACCTCCATTTAAATCAAAATTTATATAACACACCTCCTCTCTATTTTAAAGATTTCATTTATATTCATTCAACTGTTAAATTATATTTTTTGGATTAAAATGCTCCTCTTTAACATAAATGTTGTTCAAGAATCATTGAAGTTTTCAAATGATAATTATAACTTATAAATTGACAAAAAATTTAATATAAATAAAATTATTTACATAGTATGTAAGTTTAAGAGTCATTTATATAAATTTATGTAACGAAGTAATTTTTTAAATTTTAAATATATAAGCTGACAAAAAAGAGTTGGGAATTTAATATAACGAAAGATAAATTAAGTAATATAATATATAATAATTTTTATATAATTTATGTTTATTAATTTTAATATTTTGTAAAATATTTATGAAAATATAACCATAATATTCTTTAAAATATGAGGAGAGATAATACATTATATTATGAGGGTAAATCAATAATTTTAATTTTTTTCACTGATTTTAATTAATATAATAAATCATTTTAGAATTTTAAACAATATTTCTAGCAAAAATAAAAAAATAGACTAAAGTATAGATTTTAAAAATGAAAGGATTGTCTACATAATTTTAACAAACTTAAAAGGAGTTCATCTTATTTTATAAGTCAAAAAGAAATTGGCACATCAATTCTGTTTATTAATCTTTTGAGTTTGAATCACAAGTAAAAAATAAAAAGATAAAAAATTACGTGTAGATCTCAAAGACAAGATTTATTTATGATAAAGGTATATTTTTGGCTCTAATACTTTTTTTTTTTTTGAAACAGCACTTAATTCCTTAAAATATTTTGCATGGCATTTTCGTTCCTTCGGTAATTAAATCAAAGCATCGAGTATCACAAACATCTATCTAGCAGGCTTTCTTATTAATGTGGTGGGCACCATTTCTTCCAACCTCTCCTTCTTCCTTCTCTCTTCTCTCCACCAATATTCTCTGCTTCACATTGAAATCCCAGCCGCCACCATGCGTCCGCCAGAACAGGGCTAGCACCCATTGCACTCTAGGGCCAACACCAGCATCGCCGCCGATAGGTTGACGGTGAAGTCATACCTAGCCTAGCCATGGAAGGCATACTCCAGGGCTATCTTCGTGGAAAGTGAAATCGGCAGCTTCATCAACGCCAACTGGAATCTTCCATAGGTAGGCAACATGTTCCTAAACACCTGCTTCTTCGCTGAGTAAGCAAACACCGATTTTGTGATGGGACGCTACTCAATACACTGTCGAACCTTGGCTTCAAGATGACCCCAAATTGCCCACCTCCGGCTTCTGTGTCGAGCTCATGCACTGCTGAAACTTTGTAGAGTTATCAAGTTGGGTAGAGAGAAGGTTTTGAAGCTGTTTGAGAGAGCCATCGACGTGGAGGGATATGATATCTTTAACTGAGCCCACAAATTTTCCTCCGAAGAACATTGCTAGAACAGAAGGGTTGCAGCCCATGCCTCTCAAAGCCCTCGCCATTTCTCTCCCATATGCATCTATGTCGAGCTCGTGCACTGCCAAGCTCACTCCTAACTCGTAGAACAGTTGCTTAATGCTGTGGCACATGCAACACGAGCTCTTGATGAATATCACAGCAGCCTTGTTTGATGCCAAATCTCTTACTCTATTCATGATTGTCACTGCAGCTTCTCTCTCAATGTTCATGTATGACCTTTTGGTGAGTATAAAATGGTAATAGAGCTGGACGAAGATGATGATGACTTTGATTGAATATAGTAATCTCTTGGGCTCGGCTCTGGTGAGGCTGGCCGTCAGAAATGAGAAGAAAGGAGGAGAGGTTGGAGGAAATAAGGCCCACCACATTAATAATAAATTAATATTAATAATAATAAATTAATAATAGTTTCCCCCCAACCCCACACCTTACAGAAAATGCGACCCACCAGACAAATATTTGTAATATTTAATGTCAGGACACTCAATTCTCTGATTTAATTAAGGGGCGAGAATGTTACAAAAAATACTTTAAGATATTAAGAACTTTTTCAAAAAACCTTCAAACACAAAAATACACCTTTACTCATTTATTTATAACTAAGTCTTATAAGATTTAAAAACTATGACTAAATTTTTTAAAACTTAAGCAATATTTGAAATTGGAGTTTGGAAAATACTGAAATTACAATGGTAAATATTGAAGTAAAAGTTATAAATTTTTAATGAGATATTTGTAAACAATTAATGCTAAATTTTATTAGTACGCATAATCAGTTTAATTATTAAATATATTAAATTATAATTGTAAAATATTAAATTGATAATTATAAATTATTGATGCAATAGTTTTATACAATTAGTATTAAACTTGTAATGTATAATTAGTTCAACTATTGAATATGTAAAGTTATAATTATAAAAAATTAAAATTATAATTGTAAATTATTAATAATGTAATATATTTTTAATAAGAACATTATTATCTTTACATTTTAATTTTAAATTATACTTAAGTCTTAAAAGACTTGACTATATTTTTAAATTTCACAAAATTTATTTATAAGTAAATCAACTTCACATGAGCTGTAACTAAAGCAGGAGAAATTCAGGATTTCTTTGTATTATGGTAACTAGACGTGCATAACACTTCATTGTTACTGAATTTTTTCTTTAAATCTTACTGTTGTTTTCACTGTAAAACCAACAGTAACAAAGATTCTATTTTCAAGAGGAAAAAAGATACCTTAAAAATTGTCCAAATCAAATCTCTTTTCAAACAAGATGCTTTTTTCCTTTCTTTTTTACTTATATGCAATATATTTAGAATCGTAATGTTACTTTTACAACTTAAAAGAAAAAAATATAAAATAATAAAGATATTATCATAGTTCTTTGTACTTTGGTAAACCCCTTTGCCTGCCTCAGAATTAGAATTCAACAAGTGCTATTTTTTTTTTTCCCTCTCATTCAGAGGTACTTATTTTGAAGTGCTTCAGACGTACTTACTCTTACAAACATTTTTACGAGGGAGAAGTACTTATTCTGAAACTAAAAGGAGAAATTGCTAAAAAGGATGGAGACCTTTTTTCCAGACACTTTTACCATTTGGTCTTTCTCAGCAAACAAAAAGGACTGAAAGATTTTAATCACTTTTTATTTAGTTTAGGAGCCAGGGGAAAAAGTTAAAACGCACTGTTCCCACCCCATGATATGGTTAACATGCTCTCGACCCTACCACCAAATGTTTGATTCAAATGACGAGAGGCTATGCCAGATTGATCAGAAATCGCAAGTCTGGATTCTAAATGTGTAACTACTTTAAATATTTGGTGGGATAACTTTATCATCCTCTGCGGTTTACTCTCAATTCTAATTGGTTTAAGCCTCATACCAGGCATCCAAACAAAATATATTAAAAAAAAAATGCACTGAACCCCTCCCATGTTTTCATCCAAACAGTTCCTCCTTTCGCTCCCCTTCAAACCCTCCCCCGAATTAATCAGGTGCTTGTATGTATGCATGTGCATGCATGCATATATAAAGCTTCCCATGTTCTGGTGGATTTCAATTGGCAAATGCATTCCCTTGTCCTCTTCGGCTTTTTTCCGACAATACTGAAGAGACAGAGAAACGTGTTGACATCACCCTCTATTCTATCCACAAATAACCCCTATGCTTTGCACGTGTGATGCGTTTCAACTCCCTTCCGAGACCAACTGGATGTTTGATTTTCTGTTAACTAAAAGTCAGTTAAGTGAAAATTAATTATTTTAATAAAATTTGTCTAGATATAATTTTTTAAAAATTAATTTAATTAGTCATATCTGTTTAATATATCTGCTTCTACACTTTAATCTATCTCAAGAAAGAATTTACTTAAGCTAAGACTATTAATTTTTTTTTAAATACAAAGCCACGAAACATCATGTAAATTAAAAGCCATAATATTTTTATAATTCATGAAAAGCCTGTCAAATAAAATAATATCAAAATACGCACTTGAAGCCTTAGCTTGTGGGTAGAAGATCAAAGACTAGTAAATTTTAGTAGACAAATGAACTGAAATTGTCAAGCATTTTTGCACTTGTTACCGAATCAGATTCATGAGTGCAGCGACCGACGCATGGTTTGTCTAGAAAATCATTTGAGGCATAAAATTTGACAGAGCGAAAGAGTAATGCATGTTGACCTCATCAACTTCTGAATCACTTATTCAAGCGGCCTTCTTTTCATTTATGTTTCCTTTTCAGTCTTTGGAAATTTGGCTTCATTAGCTGGCTGCCAATAGAGACTGGTTCTGTAGCTTGAATTGGCTGAAATGGGATAAGAGGTTTCTTCGTGGGCACGCTTGCATTCGTCATGGTTGCATTTGAAACAGGAGACACCGACTTTGCTTTCAGTGGTCTTGGAACCTCCAATCTCTCTAGAATCCTCGAAGTTTCTCTGTCCAGCTGCCTATTACAATCACGTGGCGTAACACATTTTTGATCCAACTTGGATTTGGACATACAAGATGGAGAATAAATCTTGGGGACCTCTTTTACGACCAACTGCTCCCATTCTTTTGTAATACAGGCGATGGTGTTATCTTCTTGGGTTGTAAGATCCAATTCCGAACTTTTTCCATTCACATCTATTATTGTTTCTGGTTTCTCGGTCACTTCTAAAGAAGGCTTTTCGCTTGAGCTTGGCTCAGCGGCTGCATCTCCCTCTTTAGGAAATGTTGACCTGAAATAGATTACAATCAAATGTAGAGGAAACCGAGAGTATTAGTTGAGGAACTGCTTTTACTAGACTCTAATGATTGATAATGATAAATCTCCATACAAATGTGTAAAAAAAATTGCGTATAAGACCGTCTTTTCTTCGGAAAAGTGGAGAATTTAAGTTCAATTCTTTACAATGCAGTAAATGTCCAACCACAGAAAAGATAGCATATTGTTATACTGGGCAGCATTTGCTAGCAAGTGCTGGCCTTTGATTCTCATATTTATTATTTTAAGAAGAAAATGCTCGAGTTGTTTTAAGAGCCCATTCATGTTCAAGTACATTTTAAAGCTCATTTGTCATTTCGTTGGCACGTGTCAAGCTGGATGGAGAAGCTCACTAACCCGAACTGTAAGCTTTCTCGGACAAGAAAGTTTAGCTTTTGATGAAAGCCTCTTTCGTGCAGCAAGGGATCATAGTGCGTTAGATCAATCTGCATGCATAACTTTCCTTTGATCGTTACAGAATCCTAGGAGCATAATCACATTTAAACATACCAACATAATTCAAATTCAACAAGCATGAAAGTGATAAATGCACCGTTCAGGACTATGATAATAACAAAGACCTTGGTCCCACTGTGAAATTCATAAACTCGGTCACAGAACAACGAACATTCTTCTAGATAAGGTCGTGCGTGTGCGCCCGTACGAAACCCACAGCAGAATATGAAAGGGAAAAAAGAGGCAGAGTACAATTTCGCGCTAGTGACAGACACTTCACGATTGATACTGGCGGTATACTGTCAATATTACATTGTATACTGCAGGAGTATGTGTGTGCATCGAACTTCATTGAAAAAGGAAAGGAAAACAGAGAAAATGTGTGTGTGTGTGTGTAGATAGACACACATACATCTCAGAAATGTTTAAATCGAACCTTCAACAGACAGGCTTCAACAGAATTCTCGATTTCCTTACTGACAGATGAATTAACTAAACGATTATCAGGAACTCGTAATACTTCTTCTGCACCTGCAAGACGCTGCATGTTTATGCACATTGGTCAGAAGGATCTAAAAAAAGACAAAACTTCATCAGGATTTATAAGCCAGACATATATGCTCGCACAGAGATCATTAGGGACAGATGACACGGATCTGCGAGTACAATGATTATTGAGAGCAAAAAAAGAGCAACTGCTGATTACCCTAAGCAGCATCGGCCCGTTATCTGATGGCTGAAGAATATAATAGCAACGGAAAGGAACCTCTGTCAATGTTTCTAAATCACTATTCGAGGTGCATATCAAGCCTTGGTCCATCGAGTGCAGCACACTAGAAAGGCCTCGAAAAACTGTCAAGTCATAGCTTTACTTAAAATAATGGAAGAAACTTATATCTTGAGAAGAACTTCTGACAAATGTATAATATTAGAGAAGAACAATTCGGACAACAAAGTCAGGCCACCAGTGTAACGCCACATTGTTATATTGGAATTCCAGAGGGAAATGAGGATTAGCGCACACCTAGAGCATTCAAGTCCGACTGATCAACATCGTCTGAAGTAGATTCAATCCCAAGACAAGGGGTTGGAATCACGACAAAGGAAGCCCCCATTATCAAACCTGCATTAAAGTGAAAAAAATGGCATTGCCTGAGGGTGAATAGATGGTAAACCATGATTATATAAAGCGTCACAGTTTATTGAAAGATCTTTGGAATAAAACTACTAGGAATGCCAAAATTATATAAACCATCACATTTATTTTCATAGTAGAGGAATAAATTTGTGGAAACACATATTAAAAGATCTTTTCCTCCTTTCCAGTGAATCAGACAGAAGTTCCCCCAAATAGGATGTATATATATTATACACTTTATATTACTTTAATTGCTAGAAAGATCAAAGTGCTTGTTCAATCAGTCTATCCAACTAAGCTCCTTCATCAAGCGCTCAAAGTTGACATCGCAGTTTATCAAAATAGAAAAATACATATCCATGTAGAATAATGCTTTGATGCTGAAGTGGTATATGAAATGTCAAAAGCTATATTTACCTTCATTAACAGAAGTCAAGCTTGTCCTCCTGATAACTGTTATGTCAATTCGTGAATTAATTTGTGGGAGCTTCAGGAAACTATGGAATGAGGGAAGAAACAGAACTGTATTGTCCCCAACCCTGACAGAATTTTCGACAACATCACATGCTTCCAGATTGCTGCCTGTGACTGGACAAGAAAATCTGTTGAACTTGGCTGCTCCAGCATCTCCTAACAGAATGCCATGACATCTGCATGTCTATAAAGTTCCCATAATTAATGCTTCTCCTTTCTACAATTAAAAAGTCAAATTGATATAGCAGCTGAATTCAATGGGATTTCATGGTAGATGATATGGGACAATTAAAGGGCATAGTTATTTTAAGATCAGGCTAACAGTGAAAGTAACTAATACAAAATCTACAGTAGATTCTATGAGATTATGAAGACATCTTTGCTCTTATGCTCTAGCTATAGCTTTCCAGTACTAGGATGTAGAGCTCCTGATCTTATTGAAGACGTGACAAGAATATTGTCCTTAATCCGCCTAGAGTAAAACAGAGTATAATCTTCGGAATGGATTTTCCTCTGGATTGATGGAAATAAAATCGAGCAGAGGAATGCTCCAAGTATATGCATACTCAATAGCTTCAAAGCGATATATATCTGAATATGAGAAAAATATTTACTGAATGTTATGCTGATCCTGCATCTTTTATAGCCTGAGAGCAATTGTACATCCTTCACATATTCTGTTTAATAAACTAACAAGCATAAAAGTCAGCTAAAATATAATATCACTCGTCAAAATACACTCTGAATAAAGTAGTTCTGAAGAGTTAAGGCTAACTGTATACCATACGGAGAATATCAATAGTCTAGTAGTTAGTTCCTAGAACAATATCCGTGGTTTTGTCCATTTAAGGAAATAAAAGATTTATTATAAGATAGGGTAGTATTCTAAGAATCTGGGTGAAGATCTCCATCCATCAAAGGAATCACTCGAGGCAGTTTCTGGAAGGGAAAGAAGTGAGTCACTTGAATAAATTTATACACTATGCCTAAATTTATTTAAGCGCTACGTGCGTGCCTAAGTTTAAACAACCAACATAAATATGATACTTTTGAACATGAATAAAATGATACATCGGCCAAAAATTGGAGTGATTAGGTGATACAGAAGAGTATTATAAGTGCCATATTACCTGGCATTGACTAAAGCCATTGCTGATCGGAATGGCAGCCGCATACAGGTTGCAAAATATGTGGTTCACTGAATCTAATAGATTTTCTTTAAAAACAAGACGTGCTTGGAATGTCTCCTCCGTGTCATCTTGTAGAACCTGAAGCCATCTTTTAACCAGACAGTGCATTACTCTGAAATCTGCAATCCTTTATAAGCTTTCCAGAAATTTTAGATTCAAAATTAACCACCTTAATAAGAGACTTGTATCTTCACTTTTATTTTTATTATAGTACTAAAAATATAGTAGTTCTAGCAATAGCAGAGTTAAAATGTTGACAGAGTACTTAACCAGGAATGTAAGTCTGGAATGAGCAATTGTCAAGATGAGAAACGCAACGACGAAAGTTGTTAATGTTTTCCCGCGTATCAGTTAGATGACTTGACTTCTGCTGAAATACCGCAAAATCAACCGAAACACATCTTTCTGCAGCATCCTGGAAAAAGACAGAACAGCCATTGGATTACTATACAAAAGGAACTATTACCGTTACCATTTAACCTAGTTCATGTAACCACTAGCTCACCATGAGGCACTTTTGCATTGTAGAGTCTACATCTTCAGGCAAGAAGGAAGTTACGACTATCGCTTTTCTCTCAATATCTTTACCTTGCCAGGAGTACAGCACTCGATCACTTAAAACAGTTGAAAGCATTACATCTGAAAATGATCAACCGAGTAACGATTGCGTTTCTTCAAACAAGAGAGATATGGGGCGAGAGAGAGAACGCACCGTGATGGTTGTCATTATCAGGCAGGAAGGCATCGGAGGGCAAGCTGTTAACAGCATGGTGGAAATCGCGCAGATTGAAGTTTCCTCTGGGACTATAGGCGATCTTCAGCTGCGTTACATGCAGATTCACTCTATCGCTCATACGAATCGCAGCAACCATGTATTGTGTGCTTCGAATTCATGTCCGAATCGGATGTTCATAAAAGAAAATGATAATAACTTGTACAACGGAACCAATACCTCGTCAGACGAAGAAAATCGATTTTTAAAGACGTAGCACAGACCGATCTTATCTGCAGGAGAGTTCGATTTTGGACTAGACGATGTGGAATAATTTGAAACGGCGTACAAGTTGGCAAGTTGAAGCAGTGACTGAGAATTGAAACCCAGTCCATCATAAATAATCAATTAGAGCAAGAGATTGTTTGTAATTTATGCGGTTAGATACAATCCTATTGATTTTGTTCGTAAAATCAATTATGAAATGTTCGAGCAGAAAAGCACTAGAGACACGGAGAATAGAGAACAGTTTCTTTGGCAGCACCTGCTTTAGGTCTCTAAGCAATGGAGGTGCCAAGCTCCGCAGGTCCAGAATAAAGCACACCTGCACCATTTCGCTTCTGCTAAGATATCGCCGTCTCTCTAGTTTGCCGCGAAAATGTCTCGAAAGTCGAAACTGCTTGCGCGAGAGTTCAAATTGAAATGTCGTCGACTCGAGGTCACTCCCTTTTAACATGACCGGCCACGCACTAGTTGGACTTGGATGAGTTTTCTCGGTTGTGTTTGAGAGAAGATGAACTCGTTAGTCGTTATACTTATTGTTAATTGCTCAATTAATTTAATTATATATGCTTTTAAAATGAAGATTATTTTTTGTTTCGAATTATTTTTTAATTTTATGTATTATTTTGTTTCAATTTGTACTTCGAGTGTTGAATTTTGACCCCCAAAAAAATAGAGTAAAAAACTGCGTGATGTTAGAAAAATCTTGCCCGAGATAAAATAAAATAATTTAATAGGTACTCAATTTTAGCGTGATCATCAAACGTAAGGACTTCTCGAATTACTTAAACATCAATTGAAATGCAAGCTCATTATGCATTGAATAATAAAGAAAGAACTCGCTCTTGCTCTCTCTATATATATTTTTTCCTTATTTCACCAACGAGATTTTTTTTTTTTTAAGCAGCACCTCCAAGAAAAAACTTGAAATCCAGATTCTCCTGTGACATCTTTTTTTCCCGGGTCAATTAGGCAGCTCATCACCGGTGCCATACTGGCTAGGCAATAAAAGGTCTATTTAGAAGATTAATATAAAAGCCTCGATGACAGACGATTTTACTTAATTGCACCTACTCAGCTAATATTAATAGGCGTCAAGGGATCTAAAATATTTTAAATCATTAGAATATGGGTTTTTTGAACCCATGATGCTCATTAATATGGAGAAGCAAAATGTATTTGATCATATTGCATCCATTTTAAATATCTTCTTATCATAATTATAATAGAAAAAATCATGTATCAATGAAAGTTAAGTGTTAATTTATCCTTAGTATTGTAATGAATTAAAATTTAAATTTTTTTGGTAGTATTATTCAATGCCATTTATGAATGGATGAACGACAAAATGCATGATCAGAGAGTTTACACGCGTGTAAGAGAGAGAGAGACACCTGTATTCGGAATGAAACAAGAATCCAAGGGTGTCGCATTGTGGCATATAATATATACAATGAAACTATCTGATTACGTGACTGTTAACGTGAGAATACATACATACATTATATATATATATATATATATAAACTCAAATATTAAATGACGTTAATTTTTTCATTTCAATGTCAGCTGCATTATCATTTGAATTACGCCATTGAAATGGACAGCGACTAACAAGTTGTGAATTGTCAATAAGTTTCGGCACCGTATTAATCTAATCTAGTTAAGGATATGTATTGAAACTTGAAATTGAACATTTTTGTGTTATTGTTTAATTAGTGTAATATTAGCATAAGCTATAAATTAAGGCATGCTAATCCTACTATGTTTTAATCAACAGAAAGTTGTTTCACATGACTTGATTTCTTTTTCATTTTTTTATTGCATGCTAGTGTCTTTTTTTATAAAAATAATCATATTTGCGATGCAATCTAACACTAAATGTAGTATATATTCCAGTGAGAATTTTAAACTTTAATTCACCACGCAGAGCAAGATTTTTAATTAAGGGAGCCGACATTACAAGGCAAAAGCAATAATGGAATGAAATTAAAAGAAATGTATATAAATAAAATTAATATACTTCCTCCATTTAAAAATATAAAATATTTTTAATCGAACCTCACCCCCAATAAAGTAATTAATTATTTTTTAACTAACCCTATCTTTTTATTTTTGCCCTTATTAAATACTTTAAAATAAATATAAAAGTCATTATCAATAGGAGAACTTTTATAAAAAAGGCAATAATTATACATCAAAAGATTAAAAATGCCTTACATTTTTTAACATTTAATTTTTTAAAAAATGTCTTATATTTTTTTAATGGAAGAGTAACATAAATATTTTAACATTTATATTCAATTTTATAAATATATATCCAACATAAACATGCCTCTTACCTTTTTTAAAGTGTTGCCTGTCAACTTTTCATGGTATAAGATATTTTTTAGGAAAAATTAATATGCCAACCCTTATAGTTTCATCTAGTTTTTAATCAGATCTCTGGAAGTTTTTTCTTTTTATTGAATCCTCGAAGTTTTCTCTGTTACAGATATTAATTCTTTAGCCTAAAGTCGGTTAAAAACGTCATGTAACGGTGTTAGTTTGGTCTATCCATGAAAAATCATTCAAGTTTCTCGTATTGGACCCACTGCCACTTCCAAACTTCTCAAATTAATCATTATTCTCATCACCATCAAAGTCTTCGAGGCTATCATCAGAATCACTCTCGAGTTTGATATGGGATGCACCTTTCTCACACACTTGAAGTGGACCCAAAAGGAATTGAACAGAGAAACAATCAAGTTGTGTGCACATTGGATCTCTATGCAATAATACTTCCAAAGCCTCCCCGTCTTGTGGCGGCAATGGATGACGATTTTAGGCGGCTACACTAAAAACCATCTCATGGATCAAAAAAGTGCTTTGCTCTGTAGATCGTGATTGCCATGCTTTAGAAATTCTTCTCCAAAACCAAAATTTAGAGAGGAACCTCTCCAAATTGGTATCTTTCACAACTACTTACCTAAAGGCTTTTTCTGCCATAACCACTATGGGCCTGATGATGGTGGACGCTGCAGATAACCTAAGAAGAATCGTTTTATGAGTTTATTGGGGTCCCAATATGGGTCACTTTGGAAGTGCTTATTGGGGTCCAATTAAGTAAAGCGATATTAATTCAATTGTTAATTATATAAATATTTGGATTGAATGCGACTAAAGAAGTAAAGATGATGATTTTGCAAAGGCATGGATGGAAGTTGCAGTAGAAGTAGATGTAGGGCTAATTGTTGGCTAAGCCATAAGACTAGTTTATGGTTGTCAAATCATACAGCTTGCTCATATATACCTCCAAGGTTGGAATGTGTTTTTCCGTTTGTCAAAGGGATCTCACCTCCCTTTGATATTATTAAAAGACGACTTTAATGATTTCAAGATAGAAGGATTAACACCTACTCCCTTTATTTAAAAATATAAAATATTTTTAATTAAATTTTATTTTTTAATAAAGCAGTTACCTACTTTTAAACTAACCTTATTTTTTTATATTTATTCTTATTAAATACCCTACAATAAATATAAAATCATTCATTAATAGGGGCACTTTTGACAAAAGATAATAATTACATATTAAAAAATTAAAAATGCCGTATATTTTTTAATGAATAGATTATAAAAGTAAAAACTATTAATAACTTTGAGGATCCAATTAAAAGAAGAGAAACTTTTGGGACCTGATTAAAAATGAGATGAAATTATAAGAATTGATAAATTAATTTCCCAAAATATTAATAAATAAGAATTAGATTTTTTTACTTTTACAAAATTTTAACATAATTTATTCATAATAATCAAGTTTTGAAGATTAAGATATTTGGGCACATTAAGCTCGTAATGCTATAATTCATATTTCAAGCATTTTTTTTTGTTGGTTACAAAAATTTGAAGAGTGAAAATTTTTAATAAGATTGTATTTGTTCATAGTATTGAATGATTTAAATGTATTTTTAGAATATAATGTTGAGCTCAATTTAAAAGATATATTACTAGCTCACTGAATTATCATTTAATTTATTCAATTGATAATTTATAAAAATAATAAATAGATCAATATGATAATAATGATCAACTGTCACATAAAATAGATCTTATTTTTAGTCTCTATTTTCTTAAGGCAAAAAAATTATTCTCTTTTCAAATATCATGATATTTTTAATAATTAGGTAGAGTTAAATTTTGTTAGTATGAAATATAAACAAGTATATTTTAGGGAGCAAAAATATATAACTCTTTCATTTTATATATAAGTAAAAAAAATTTACAAGTTAGAGGGTTATGACTCGCTGGCCCCCCTTATCTTTGTCACTGTCACGCGGTAAAATATTAATCCCTTTTGTTAGATTTAATTTTTTTTATAACTCATATTTTTCAAAGAAAGATAGTTAAAAAAAAAAGGCATCGTTAATATATTTTGCTTGCGTATATTACTTGCTTTCTACGAGTTTGTTAAAATGTCGTGGAAATTAAAATCACATGATTAATGACCCTCCGGGTGTGGAAAATCTCATGCCTATCGACTAGGCGGATTAATCATCAAATAACTTTTTTACCACAATGTTTTCTCTTTTATAAAGTAAAGTAATTTGACAATTATATATATAAAAAATTATCTCTTTTTGACTCCTTTCGTTAAATTTTATTTTATTTTGGCTTTTTGGCTTTTGCCTACATCAGAATATATAGTAAAGTGTTTGTAAAAGCGCATGAGGAAGAAGGACTTAGGGAGAATTATTATATATCCTCAATTACAATAATTGTTCGTCTTCGTCAACAAATTGTTTTTAAATATTAAGAGTTCTTCAAAATTTTATTATTAGACACGCATACTTGGCCAATTCGATTTTTGTTTCCCGGATGAGTTAGCTAGACTTTCATTACTCCCCTTTAAGACAACCTCATCAAAGTGAAATTCTGTGAAGCTTAAGAGAATCATGATTATGTGATCGATCGAAAACATTCTAAGAATGACCCCAAATAGTTGCTGCTGGATATAAAAAATAGGAAAAAATAATAGTTAAGGACCTTATAAGATCATTAGTTAAAATTAGGATGCTGAATTATTAAAATCTTAATAATAAACAATGGTCCTTACTTAAAACTTAAAACATATATGATGTTACAAAATTTTCTTCAAATATTGAAATTACTATTATAAGTTGAAACTATTATTAATTTTAGTTGAAAAAACTAAAATCCACACTTGAAAATGGAATCAATAATAGTCTCAATCTATTATAGTAATTTTAATATCCAAAACTCACAACACTTGGGATTATAATTTTTTCAATTAAGATTAATAACAGTCTCAACCTACAATAATAATTTTAGTAATATATTTTCTTAATTTTATAAGTAGTTTACCTATATATTGATTGGCTTAATATTTAAAAATGACTTTAGTAGATTTTCAAATAACTATTATATATTCATAGGTGCCTTTTGACAATTCACAATTGAATTCTAGTTTCAGATTAAGAAACAACTCATTTCCAAGTGTGGAGCTTAGTTTTCTGAATTAAAATTAATAATAATCTCAACCTATTATAATAATTTAAGGAGTGTCTTTTTTTTTTAATTTTCTGAGTAAAGGTAATTTTATAAAGTCATATATGTTTTAAATTTCAAATAAGTACCGTGGTCCATTGCTGAATCTCAATAATGCAAGTTCTCTAATTATAATTGATAGTCTTATAATGGAGTCTTTAATTTTCATTTTCCCTAAAAAAATAAGGAAAACATCGCTTTAAGTACTTGTACTTTAGTCTTGTTTTGTAATCCATGTAACTTTTTTCATTATCTTAAATCCTTTATTTTTTTATTGTTATGCAACGCTTACCCTTTTAATTTAAAAAATATCTATAATGACTATGAGTTAGTTTTGATTGCGTTTGTTTTACTAATATGAACTTAACACTATTAAATTATGTGAAAATTTGATAGAAGCAATTTAGGTGAACTGAATTGTGAATTGCGTTAAATTTATGTTAGCAAAATAAATACCATTTAAGTTGACTCATGGTCCTTATAAGCATTTTTTTAACTAAAATAATTAAAGTTGTATACAAATAAAATAGTGGAGGCGATGAACAACAAAATAAACAAAATAAACAATAGGACGGATGAGAGTGAGGTCTCTATTTTTTTTTTATCATAAATGTCTCAACTTCTTAATCAAAAATCATGACCATTAATCAAGTCTATAATTAAAATAAATTCATTTAATGTAATTATAACCATTGATATCACTACATTAAATAAATTTGTTTTAGTTATAGATTCAATGAAGGGTCATGATTAAGAAGTGGACGATGAATGGTTGTGATTAATAAGTGAAAAGAAAATGATAATGAAAAAAAAAATGGAGAGACCTTATGGTAAAATAAGAGGAAGTGAAGAGAAAATAAATGAAAAGAAGCCAAACACAAAACAAAACAAAAAATCATGTATGTGCCAACTTAACTCACATGAGGGAAAGCTGCTGAAAATAAGAAAGCCTTGACGGATATATAATGTTTTGTGGCATGCAAACATTATTTGTATTTTTTATTATTTTTTTAAATACAGGGATTGTTTTTCATAATTTGTATATTCATTTCCTTTTTATGTTCATAATTAATAGTCATCTTTACAAGGCTCTTTTAGCAGCCCACACCCCTCCCAGAGGGGAGGTTGTGGGATTAAAGTTCTAGAGATGTATCTAGATTAGAGCCTATGGGGGCAATTGCCTCCACAAGGCTAGAAAAAAATTGTATATAATAATTATAAATATTTTAATTATCTCTCTCTTATACAAAAAAAATTCAGTTTCCCTTAAAAAGAGCTCATTTATCCCATTAAAAAATTTATTTAATTCAAATCTTATGTATATGTTATAATCTTAAATTAATAAAGGCGGTAATAATTTAAACAATAAATATTTAAACTTTTAGTAGTTTAAAAAATAATTAGTATTTATCTTTGGAAATTTTTTTGCTCGCACTACCTAATCATTCTAAGTCCGTGGTTGCATCGAGCCCCCAAGTGGCATGGGGGAAAAGGTGTGCGTGTGTGAGTCATCCTTCGGAAGGATTAGGTTAGGGTAAGCAACAGATAACAACAACAACAGTTGTATTTACAAACAATTTAACGCGCAGTCAAGAAAAGTAGTATAACCATTTACTAGCGAGAGAAGAGCTTCAAAAAATCAACGAAGAAGCCTTGGAAGGCTGAACTCGGCAACCAGGCTTGAAATAAGACAATTGAAGATGATCTGTTTCTTCATGATCATTATATCACTCAGACAAATTTTGCTTTATTTTAATAGAAACATAGGAGATTAATATACATCTACACTTGAGCAATTATACAAACACCATCATGGAAGAATACACTTACAAATATTCTCCAGTGAAATTAATTACTTGAAAGCACACAATCACAGTCTCACAGATCAGCAGCAAGGACCTTACACTACGCCGTGATACATGAGAACATCCGTCTGTGGCTGCTAAACCGGACGAGAGGCTTTGGAGCAGCACTGGTTGCATGCCGCTGAGAAGACGAGAACCGGCCCCCGGAAGTGAAATCTCCGACGGAATTATGCCGCCGGTGATGAGGATGATTATTGCTGGCTGAGTAAAGTTCACTCACCGTCTGGGTTGAATCAGGCCTCTGAAACTGATACAAATGGCTTTCAGAACCGCGGGGATAGATCTCGGCCATGTTTATGAGAGGAGAAGATACTGATCGGAGACGCTGGTATTCCCGGCGAGTTCGGCTTTTCTTCACTGCTCTGTAAACCAAAGGAAGAAGACCCTCCATTTGTGTGTCGACGAGACGAACGATGATCCCTGCTCTTGCCCTTTTTTCTCCTTCGAACTGAGAAATTAATAAATGGATTAATTCAAACCAGGAATTTATGCAATCAGAATATTCTAGGGAAGGTGGGAATGGAGCTGGAAGGGAACCATGACTTATATACTGATTATTATAAGGTTAAGTGGCCTTTCTCTGTTTTGTGCCCATATATTAATATTTTTTTTTTAAATAACTGGATAACGACCTAAATTTAGTCCAAGTCACTCATAATTTAACGATTTCAAATTTCTGTTAAAAGGATGGGTCTATATTTAATGTTTGATTAATTGTACTTTAAATATAATTACCTATAGGAGAATAATTGAGCGCAATAAAAAACTATTTTAAAAAGTGAATATTTTTTGAATTAAAAACATTTTAAAATTAAAAAACACTACAAAATTATTTAAATCTATAAGTTTTTAGAAATAAAAAGAATTTTTGCACATATAACCCATTTAATAAGATCAAACAAAGATAACAACCTAACATTTTAAATATTTTGCAATATGACCGGATTAATATTTCAGTTAAATTAAAATGATAAAAATATTCTTTTTCCTCAAATATGAAATCTCATTTTCATTCTCAAATTTAAATATATTATAACTACTAAACTGATGAAGTATCAAATATTAAAATGATATATGGATTATAAATGGGTCACAATTACAATCATTCAATTATAAAAGTTTTTCTATTTTATTACATAAGTTTTTTTTATTTGTTTTGGAGATAAAAAGAGAAAATCACACCCAATTGATTGTAAATGGACTACATTTCAGAATTTTTAAAACTTATTCCACAATTTTTTGTTAATATATTTTTCAAGGTAATTGAGCCAGTTTACTATAAATGAAACTAAATCAAGTAAAATAAAAATAAAATTTATTTTTATTTTTTATTTAAAATTTTGAAATTCTGGTTTTTTTTTAAGTAAGTTTATCCTGCTATTTCTTTTTATTCAGAAAGAAAGAAGAGATGGAGTGTAACACGGCAACGTGCTGTTTGACTTTGACTGTCAAGACGGCGATGATCATAGATGACACGCCAATATATACCAACTCTGCCACTTCTTCTGACGAGGAAGCTGCGATGCTGATCAAGATGGTTCCCACGCATGCCAGAATTTCTATCAATCCTATTTTTGCCTTCAAAATTAATTACAGGAAAAAAGTATGTCGTTCTTTTATGAAATCTAACTAGCCAACTCCATAAGTTATTTTATTATACAAATAATAAACAAATAAAAACTCACAGAGAATATATTAATACACGCTGTTTAAAAAGTATAAAATACCAATAATTCAACCGATCATCCATATTAATACAATTAATACATAAATCAATATAAAAAAACATAATTAAATTAATGAAGCTAAAATAAAACGTCTGTGGATCAAGTGAGGATAAAATACTTATTATATAAAGCAAAGCTATTGATCACAACACGTAATATGTAAACGACTAAACGAGTACTTGATGACGTGTTGGCCGATGCTATCTCTCGATGGCATCAAATCAAGAGGTTAAAACTCAAAGACATTGTCAATTTGTCACTTACTCCCTCCATCTTTATATATAAAAAAAATTATCATTTTTAATTTTTTTTATATAAATAAAATTACATTTTTTAATAAATATTTATTGTAAATTTTTTAAATTACTCCTCATAATTTGATCATTCATAGTCATAAGAGATAGCTAATGAAAGCTTGATTAACACAATTAATAAAGGTATTATGATTTAATTATTTTATTTTTAAACACAATTAATATAATTAATTGATTTTATTAAACTGTGTGATACAGTTTTTTTTTTTAGAGTAATTATTAAAGTTGAGATATAAAATGTTGGCGTTACCATCAGTCATTCAGACTTTCATTTTTTAAAAATTTTCTGCTAGTTATTTCAATCCCTAATCAGAAAAATATGCTTTGGAAGTTGTCGTCTAGAAGCTATCGATGTGCAAGTGACAAATTGAGGATGGGGAGAGAGATCATGAGCCTAGAAACAAAAAAAAAAAAAAGTGTCATTAATTTATTATTATTAATGAGTCATTATATCCCCAAACCAACCAAACAAGTTTTTAAGCTTTTGACCAAAACAAACAAACAAACAAGCTGCCTCATCCACTAAACCTCGAGCAGGATTCACTATGTGCCAAATATATTAGATTTCAAATTCAACGGCGGCATCAACACGTCCCAGTGGTAATATTGTTTATTATACATATTAAAAGCATTTTTAATTGCTAATGAACTGTGGAATGTACTAATATCTAAACAATCAAGTGGCCAGAATTTATGGAAGTTCTTAATCAACTGACCAATTATTTAATTTTAACAATCACCAAACATTTTTCAGATTTGTGAGGACTCTGACTTAGCCGCTTGCGTATTCAATGTTCGATAGCACTCGCAAATTTCTTTCTTCTTCTTTTTCACTGATAAAAAATAGCAAGAACTGATCGAACACTGAATCACACTGAGAAGAGAACTATTGGTATGTTAGGAAAATAAATGAAAGTACAATTTATTAGAGGGCTGTTGCGAAGCAAACGGAGCTTTTTCTTTTTTATGGGAAAAAAAAACGCAGCATGTTGTTTAAACTGATAGTACGTTGAGCAAAATTTTTTGTGTATTTTTTATATTTTATTTTGGATTAAATTATATTTTTTTCCCTAATGTTTTATCCAGAGAACATCTAATATAATTAAAGAATTTTGTATAACATTTTTGCCGTTTATGTAATTATTTCAGTGCACCTATTGCCCTGACATTAGATATTGCGGGATCCACATACATGTCTAGATGGCATACACATGACATCTACGTGACAAGTCAAAAATTGGAGGAAAAGATAACTGCTCTCTTCTCGTGAATAGAAAATGCAGAACATCTCCCCAAAATTTCTTCCTCAAAATTCATCAAAAACACCAGCAAAATCACCAGAACAGAGAAGCCAAACCAGATCGAGAAGGACAAGGCTGAGAAATCCTCACCTGGGAGAGCAGAAGAAGATGCTAAGCGAAATATACAAGAAAAAACACTAAAATTGTAATAGTTAGAGGAAATTTAAGGATTGTTTGACAACCTGTTTTGAGAACAGTTTTCTATTTTCCAGAACAAAAGAATAAAAAAATTTATTTGATAACGTGTTTTTAAATTTTTTTTGAAAAATGAAAAAATAAAATATTATTTTGAAAACAAAAAATAGAAACAATGTTTAATTGTTCTAAAATTATTATTTTGAAAAATAAGGAAAAATAAAGAAAAAAACTTATTTTCATTATTTTTTTATTTTTAGAACATGCTTTACAAAATATTAATTCTCATAATAATAAAACAAAAATAATTTCAAACAGGTCCTTAGTTCTCCACTAGTTGCAAGCTAAGTTACAAAGACCCACGCACAACAAATCTCAAGGGAATGCCTAAGGTCATGTTTGGTATAATGAAAGAGTTTTTGGTAGAATCGGAATCAGAATCGGAATCGGAAATTGAAATTGAAATTGAATTGGATTTAAAAGTGTGTTTGGTATGATAATGGAACCTTGATATAATTTTAATAAAATATAAGTACTTAAAATAAGAAAAGACCAAAGTGCCCTTTTTTAAATTAAAAAAAATTATCCCCATCAACCCAACAGTCCCATTCCTCTCCTTCTGCATCACGTCACTGCCTCCTTCTCCTCCTCATCTGAAGAGCATCCTCGCCACCGTCCGTCACCGTTCCGGCAAAGACCCCCTCCCCTTCTTCTTCTTCTTCTTCTCTGACAAGGATCCCTTCCTACATCTGTCGCCGCCTTCTCATGGTTCATCGTCATTGCTTTCTTCTTCTTCTCCGACAACACCTGATTGAATAAGAAGATGAAGACTAAAGAAGAAGAGAGGAGGAGATCGATATAGATGATGATGTCTTTCGAGTAGGGTGACAGTGACGACTGTTGCACTGTCCACTGCTGCTCGGTTCTTTATCATCATCGTCAAACCAAGAATGCTCTCACACACATATAGAGAGAGAGAGAGGTGATGGGCACTTTATCGACGGCGAGAATGCACGAACAATGATGGGTCCTTCATTATTGATAAGAATGCATGGTGAATGTTCATACCATGACACCGTAAGCCCCTTCCTTTTCTCCTCTTCTCAACTTTCTCTCTCTACTCATTCCTCTTTGACAGTGCACCCACTGCCCCCATCCTTTGTTCCATCTCTGCATCATGACTTACTTGCTAAACAAAGGTGTGAACTAAGAAGCTTGACGGAGATTTCGGGCCTTTCTTCTTGGGGTTAGCAGTGGATTGTGGTCGTCTTCCCGAGCGAGTAGTGGTCATCAACATATCTAGATGAAAGGGAATACATAATTGACAGTGATATTGGAAGAGGAAAAAACCACCTGTCACTAAAGGAAGGAGATGAAGCCAAGGAAGAAGAGCGATGCTTCTGCATTAAGAAGGAGATAGTTCGTGGAGGAGGAAGAAGGAAATCATGGAGGAGGGAGAAAGGGCAAACTGAAGAAAGGAAACCATGGAATCCGATTCCATGATGTATGTGATGAAATTGGATTCTGCCAAATTTCCTTGAATCTAGATTCCAAAAAATCATAATTATTGCATACCAAATACACATGTTAACAGATTCTATGTCCAATTTTATTTCTTTCTCCATGATTTCAAGCTACCAAACGGGGCCTAACAGATATTTGAAAGACGAAGCTCTGCTGGAGTTTTCCTAACACCACTTAGCATTTATGCCATGTGTGAGGTGGGAGCAAATTTTTGGGATCTGGTCAAGCCACGTGTGCAAGTTGATGGATTCAGTTTCTAGAAGGACAAGCGAGTCACTTGATTTCCTATGAGGTCGAGATTTTGAAGACTATTTTTTGATCTCTAGAAAATTACGCAAGCTTCGAATGGCCAAAACATTGCCTCTCTCTACCTTCATGTACTTCTAAACGTCATTCATCTCCACTGTCGAATCTATAGATAATAAACACGCACAAGCACACATGTATTTGTACATTTATAAAACATGTGTATTCAATTAAACATGCACGCGTGCACGTATTTATACATTTATGAAACTT